GTGGCAGTGTTGTAAAAAATTATTTGTATGGTTATTTTACAGAAGGAACTTTCCTGCATATTTTTTTTTTCTGATGCTTTTGTGATTTGTAATTAAGGACAAAGTATCTTCATTTCCATTGAGAATTTCATGTGAACTCTTTGCAATACTTGTTTAAGTGAAATACAGATTTTCTTCTTTACAATGGTTTGTTGGTGCAGATTCTTTATTACAATGAAAAAAAGGTTTTTCTCTACTAATGTATATGTGAACACATTTACATATAATTATATGTTTTCCTCGTTGATTTTCCTGCCTTCTGGTTTGATGATTATAGATATGCTTTTAATGGTATTGGTAGTTTTCATTTAAAAACAATTCTGCCGGATCCATATTCCTATGTTTGTGTTCATTTAATACTGGTTTTATAGTTGTTGGAAGGATTCCTTGGGACTTGGGGGAATATTTTCTGAATTTGTTTTTTCCTTTTTGTTTGTTTTGTTGTATCAATTGATATTAATTCCAAAGGTGAATTCTATGTCTTCTTAGATTTCTGGAGACAATGCCATGGTGGAAAAAGTGGTCATAGGTTTAGGGGGTAAAATTGGGACTTGGGAGTGAGAATTTAGTTTATGTTCATAGAAATTTCTTTCTTAAATAGAAATAATGTGTCGAAGAGTTTCAAACAGGAACCTATGGTTGTTCAACTCTGAGCTGCCATGGAAAATAATAAATTGAGTTTGTATTTAAAATTTTGGATAGTAATAAGAAACATCACCAAGACCTATTCTAGCAACGAAGCTGATTAATGGCCCACAACCATCCATCCAATGATCCAAATATCATTGCCATGGCTCCTAGAGAAAAACTGCTTCATTCTTATTAGCAGTAAAAGCATTTACTCTGTTACCCAAATACAGCAAGGGTGTATTTCGAATCCTTGAACAAGCTTACTGATATAGAATTTACATTAAAAGTTGAGTTATCCTACATGATACAACACCCTTGTACAAGTATTTGGGTATTAAAAAACATTTAATGTGGAAAATATTTGCAGAAACAATGAAATATATTGATGCATTATAGTTATGTATATCAATTTCCATCAACTGTGATGTTTGCATCTTCAATTTGTGCAGCTTTGTAGCTTGGTTTCCATTTTTGTCGGGTATAATGTCTTTCCAAATGAGAGTACCTTGGCATGTATGTTTTTATCAGCTATCTGATAATGTGCATTTTCAAGTTTGGATTGAAAAACACACACACACACAAAAAGTAAAGAAAAGAAAAGAAAAGAAAAGAAAAGAAAAAAAGAAACTGAGCCTTCACTTCCTGATTCTTAGGGGATGTTTAATTCTTCTGAGTGATAATTCATAGGTTTCAACATGCTAGGATAGTTCTTTGCATGAGAACATTGGCAGTTGACATTACACGTTTGTAAAGTCTTGAAATATGATGAAAGTTACCCTACATTGAAGATCTGTGAATGTGTGGCATCAAGTTGTGAAGTTCTTAGTTAATATTATTATCTCTTACAGTGATATAATTATTCATGTTAACATTTTTGTGCTTCTACTTGTTTTGTATTAGATGCTTAAGAAGTTCTTGGGTCATGGTGTGATCCTCCAGAATCCAGGTAAAATTGCTATACTTGGCAATTTTTTGTTGGGAAACTTCCATCCTATTCTAATTCTTTTGCCATTTTCTAAGTGGTTCACACATTCAAGTATGGCATCATGTATGTACACTCCAAAATGAAAGAAAACAAAAGCTATACTATAATGCAGAAACAAACCAAAATCCTTGTGCACTGTATTTTGATGGCAACATGCCAACATCTATGCAGAAGTTGTGTAGTTTTGATCAGGTATTGTATGGCTAGTCCTTGATATGATGATGATGATGATGATGATGTATAGCCATATTTTATATTTCATAACCCTCCTGAATGATCATGTCGACCATGAGTATGTTGGATGCATTTGCTTAAATGTTCTGTCAAAACATTGCTGTTTGGGCTAATGGTGATACTGATTAGTGGCTTAATTTTTTTGCTGCAGAGAAGTGAAGACCCTTTGAGTAATTGGGGGGAAGGAAGCTGAGATGTTTGAAAATTGACGAGATGTTCTTACTGTAGTGGATTCATGCCATGTAAATTGGACGTTGGTAGTGTTTTTGTTGTATCACTGTCTCTACTTCCTTGTCAAACCTCTCAAATATATGAACTGTTGGATGATTGGTGATGGTATTTGTATGGTTGATGAGTTCCTTTGGATTCTTGTAGGTCTTTTAAACTCTTGAGGAAAAAGGTTTTACTTGTGTTGTGAAACACCAGTATCAGTGTTTGAAAAATCCCTTGGTTGTGTTGCTTATTTCGTGCTTATTATAACTCTTCTGGCTGGTTAGGTAGACTAAAGCCTCAAAGTTAACAGTAAAACGATCTTTAACTGTGATATGCCAATCGACAGCATGGATTACTGAACTACGTAATAATCAACGGGCCATTTGCACAATGTCCATTTGGTGCGGAGGTCCTTTTGATTTCCTGAGGCTGCCCGGCTTCCATGTGGCCCATGGCCCACGAATATTGAGCAATGTTACCAAGAGCACTTGCATAAGAGGAGCTGACAACCATTATTTAGAGCTGCTTGAGGTTAGGACCTGGTGTTAGGTATATACATGGTTGTGGGCTGTGGTTATTAGGGATTAAATTAACGACTTTTCTTGGATTTATACTGGATCCTTCTAATGATTTTAATCTTGATGCTGTTGCTATGTACCATCAATCAGCTCTAAAATGCCATTACCCAATGCTGGTCCTAGCTACCCGGGTCCTCTTAATACAAACCATGGTTTTAAAAAATGACTCAGAAATGAAACCGTTTTGGCTATCGGGTTTTGGGTTAATGGTTCGACCTCTTGGTTCTAATGGACAGTTCATTCTGACAAAAAATAAAAGAATAATTTAAAACAAAAAAATGGCTAAAACTGTTGAGTGGATTGACGGTTTGACCGCTTGAATTAATGAATTGTTGACTGATTCAACAGTTTTTGGGTAGGAATTGGATTTGGGGTAAAACAGAACTGATTGCTTGGATGGTTCTGGGCCGAATGATTCGATCATCCAGGTGAACGGCGATTTAAAAATCATGATAAAAACAACTTAAAGATGCACCATTGAATCATCACTAACCGCCCCAGCATTGACTTCGCCACTCTTTGCAAGATTGCTCTTATAACTAAATTGTTGTTACCTTGGGATTTGAATAGTTGGGATGTAATACATACTTAATACACACCTAATGTCATCTTAGGTTCACCTTTTAAGATGGGCTTTTGGATCAGCCACAGTCCATAGGATTCTTTCATCCACAGGATTCTTTCGGTGTGACAAAAGCTGGGTTTTAGCTTTCTAATTGAGCTCTCTATATACAGAAATCCTACGCACAACCTAAAAAAATTGAACCCGTTTAGGTACCTGGAGTAGATCCAAGGGGTGATAAAATGAATAGCAGTGAATTAGGATTATGATTTGGTCATGGGCAGGGAAGACCATAATACCATTCACGATACATAGAACTATAGAAGTAAAAAGAAGTTGTTGCTGCCAAGGATGGGCCAAGGGCAACAATGTAATTTTGCTTCTAAGATGAGTGCTGACTGAGTCCGAGAACTTCAAGGTTCGGCCTGTAAGCAAAGGAATTCATCAGAGGCTCGGAGTGTATCCCAGGGGCGAAGACTCCAATGGTCAAATTAGCAAGGGCGTAGTAAAGGGTCGGATGAGGCCTAAGTAAAGTAGCTCAGATGAGGTCACAAGAGAGCTTAGAGCAATAAATGCCAAGATAGCTTACATAGGGAGTGACGCCACTTGTTTATATTCGAACATGCTTGGAGTTTGTTATGAGTGGACAGCCAAGATGTGATCCGACCTATGCCATGTGTCCTCATCCGGGGCTTGCCATGCGTGCTGATAACTCTGCATTTTGATGCCTTAAGGGCATCAATTTGAAGGGATGGGACATCCATCACATGGACGCCCAAGTCTTGCGGAACGGACTAGGCGAATTTCAAAAATTTCTCCCATCTTTGCAGAGAATCGAATTCCCTATTTTAGAAAAACATATTTTTCAAGGATCAATCTTGAACC